GAAGGGAAGAATAGGTTCTGGCCTAAATGTTAAAGTCACAGTTTTCAGTCAGGGCCATGGGTTTCAGTGCACCTGCCAATTTTCTGTTGCCTTTAGGAATCCATTTACTCAAACCATAACTAATTCTATAGTATTTGCTGTTTTTGGAGCACTGAGTATTAAATTTAGAAAAATAACACACAGCTTCTTATGGAATTTAGTATTTAATTATGGAGATGAGAGACCTACATAGCTGATATTATATTGTCTGTAAGGTTTGTAAAGCACTGCATATAAATTATGTTGTTTGAAAAATGAGTGAGGGTCTGAAGTGACCAAGAAAAGTTTTATGAGATAGATAAAAGATCGAGAGGTTCCATCTAGAATAGGGATATTCATGATAACCTACTAGGGGTAGGGGATTAGGCCAATAATACCATATACTAAAATAGCTATGATGTTCTGCGATAAATACTTAAAATAAGAGATCCTGTTGTGGAGAAAACATTTGCCTTGAAATCAGTTTCTCTTAATTCTATTGCCAGTTTTGTTGCTATGATTTTAAGTTGTGTATCTTTTTGTATGTTTCCTTATCTAAAAAATGTCAGTATTGGTCTGGAAGCCAGGGAACTTTTGTTCTAGAATTGGCAGTGCTTCCAAGCTGTGTAACATTTTGCAAGTTATTTAGCCTCTCTGGGCCGCTCCTGCTTTTTTCAATAAAAAGAATTGAATTTGTTGGCCTATAGGGTTTCTGCTAGGCCTAAATACCTCTTCTTAAAAGAGATGTGAGGGTGTATTGGGATAAATAGATAATATGTGAAAATGATTTTTTAAAGCAAGGAAGTATATTATAAATTTGAGATATTATTTCTATATAAGATGACTGTTTTTTCTTTCTGAAGCTAACAATACAGTGGAGACTAATTTGTATGCTTTTGATTTAATTCTCTGTCTCTAGAAGCAATAACTCAACCTTATAAAGTTAACTGGTTTCAACAGTTAATCTTGGAACTTCTGTCCGATTGTGTCATTTATTTATTTAATCCTTCTGCTTCCACCACTCCCTCCCTAACACAGTAGGCCTCCTTCTCCCCCCTCTCCACCTGCCTGCATTTCAGTGCAGAGACTGTTATTAGAAACTGGCAAATAATAATGTGTTCTGAACATTTTATTTCCACAATGAGAAGAATTGGATTTGCAATTAGGTGATTTAAAGAGGTGGTAGTTTGTATTCAGGTAGAATTTGGTCTCTATTTCATACCTTTTTTTTAAAAAGTAAATTTACTTATACAAATGTTAAGATGATTGTTATTTCATCAGTATTCCTGAAAAGGAAATACTTGCATATTTCTCGTTTATTCTTGAATTCAGTTTATAGTTAAACTGCTTAATGCTTTGTACTGGTACTGTGTGGACCAGGGCTAAACCAATAGATGTGATTTTGTTTCCTGAAGAATGACTATTTGTAGATGAGTTGATAATTTTCTGTTTACTCTTTGTTTCTTTCACTTATGATGAGAAACTTTGTATTTCAACAGTAAGCTGTGGTCAGAACCTTGTTCCTACCTACTCAATATCACTTTTTATCCTGGACTTATTTCCAAAATAGAAAGTGATATTTGCCCCTGTGCAATAAACAAAATTGCTAAAAATGGAAGGTGGGGGAAATGTAGGAGGAAGAAGAGAAATTTATTTTTGCATCTGTGTTACCAAGAATTTGATGGTAAGTGAATATTGATGGCATAGAAAATGTTTAAGGACAAAGGTTACAGGCATTTAATTTTCAGTGCTGATTGGTAAATAAACAATAATTTGGCCATTTTTGGTGTCCAGAAAATCTGCAGTTTTCTTCAATTTAGAAATTCCTTAGCTTGTGAGGAGGTGTCACCTTGAAATGCCTATTTATAAAAGTACAAAACATGGTGTAGCCTGTAGTACTAGTTCAGATTTAAGATTTCCTTGCTGCTGATGAGAAATTAATCACCTTTAAAAAAGTTAAAGGTTGTTACTTGAAGTAATTTGGTATAATGACTCTCAACATTTTAACTTTTGGAAGGCTCATTTTTTGAATAATTTAATCACTGAAAGGGGACCCGCTTGGAATCAATTTATATTCTTACAGCATTGTGACGTGGGTGGAAGATGGGCATGAGAGGTTAAATGACTTACCCAGGGGTCATGTGTTATCTTTTCTTCTAACATTCTCCTCCATAAGATTTTCCAACCAAGATTATATTCCAAACTGGCATGCTCTTGGCTGTGATGGCTTATTACTTGGGAAGGAGATAAAATGTTTGCTAGCCAGGGCAGTTTTTTTTTGAATGCTTATTTTAAAAAAAATTTTTCCATTGTCATTTTTTTTAATATTACAAGAAATATTTTATACATAGACATGCAATAATATCTAATACTATATATAGAAATAGAAAATTCTCTTGAAAAATTCACATACCTTAGAATAAGAATTGAAAACCTTAAAAATAGAAGCACGGTCATATAAAGCATATCTGAGTAAAGGATATCAAGGGCAGTTTTGAGATTCTTTTTTGATGTCTTGTGGCAACTAATTTACTTTGTTAAAGAAATGGTGGTAGTCTTTGGTTACAGTGTTTGTTCTCATCCATTTCCAATTTTTTGGCTTCAAAAGTTTGTAGCAAATAGGTCAGATTGGAGTTGTTGTGTGCCATTTCTTTCTTTTTTTTTTTTAATTCTCCTGGCTTGGTATTGATTTTAGTCTACTCTTATAAGTCGTTGTTCTGAATACAAAGCCAACTGATGTCTCCTGTGTATGTCAGTATTTAGTAATTGCCTGCCTTTCTATTCTAATAGAATGTATTTTTTGTGATATTATTTGGTATTCCCCATGTACAGAACCTCGAGGCTCTCTCCTTCCTTTAAATTTCATGATTAGTACACTTGAGGTTTCTGTGTAGTCTATGATACTTTGGCCACTCTTTTTTTTTTTCTGAATGTATTTTTCCCTGTCTTCCCCTATGTACCTCTGTACTAAAGTTATTGAGAATTAATGTATACATGAATTTAATTTGGATGATTTTATGGAATTAAATGTATTTCAGCAAGACTTTATTGAATTCCCATGCTGTGCCCAGAACTTTTGTAGTTGGGGTATTCAAAGATAAATGAAAAGACTCCTGTCCATAGGGAATGTAGATGCTCCCATGACTTGAAGGAGAGAGGGGAAGGTAGCACCTCCATGGATAAATCTGCACAACAATATTGAGAGGAAGTATAGAGTAATTTTAGGGTCTGGAGGAAGAGCACTTACCTGAGGGAAACCAGAATGGCATTCCTACATAAAGCAGAATTTGAAGGAAGATGAGATGAGGAGTAAGGGGGGAAATATGTGGTGATTTTGCGTATAGAGATTGGAGCCATGTAGAGGTTTTTTTTGTTTTCTCATTCCTCTCAATAGATTTTGGCACATAAGCTACAATTTTCTTCATGTTGGTGTTTTTGTGAATGCCTGTCATAAGCACTGCAATATAAGACCCAAAGTCCTGTGAAATGATATTTCCTATCAATTCTAGGTGGTGCTGTGGATAGAGCTCTGGACCTGGAATCAGGAAGACTCATCTTCCTGAGTTCAAATTTAGCCTCAGACACTAGTGACTCTGGGCAAGTCACATAACCCTGTTTGCCTCAGTTCCTTATCTGTAAAATGAACTGGAGAAGGAAATGGTAAACTGCTCCAGTATGTTTGCCAAGAAAACCCCCAATGGGGTCATGAAGAGTTGGACATGACTCAACAACAACAACAACAAAATTCTGGAAGTACAGTGAAACCACTTCCTTTCTTTGCCTCACCAAAGAGCTCTTCTGTCTCGTTTTTCTATTAAACTTTAACTTCTTTTCTTTTGGTTTCATTTATATTGAGACTAGCAGGGGAAAGGGGAAGGTAATAAGTATTTATATACCTCTTGCTATGTGCTATGCACTGTAGTGTTTTACAAATATTATCTCATTTGATTCTCACAACAACCCTGTGAGGGAGATGCTGTAATTGTCCCCATTTTGCAATTGAGAAAACTGAGACAAATAGAGGGAACATTTAATGTGAGTTGCCCAAAGTCACACAGCTAGTAATGGTCTAAGGCCAGTTTTGAACTTGTCTTCCTGGCTTCAGAGCCAGTGCTCTAGTCATTGTGTCACCAACTTCCTCTGCACAGAGTGGATATGATTTGGTTGCCCTTGTATTTTGTCCCTTTGTTGGTTATTGGACAAATACTAATATTTAGGGTCACATTAACTTAATAGATAAGTTCATATTTAAAAATAATTCCAAACTATGTGATTCTTAGCACTCTCTCCTCCTTTCTCTCCTTCATCTCCTTTCTTTCCTTCTTTTTCACCTCTTCCTCCTTTTTTTTTCCTACTTTATCCTTTATGACCACAGTCAAGTAGGACTGAATTCTGTTTTGTATTTTTCTTTGTTTTATGGGTTGTCATGGCTGAAGAATTCATTACCAAGTAGCTGCTAAGCTAGCTAGATCCTTGTAATATGTTTATGTATGTATGTATGTATGTATGTATGTATGTATGTATGTATGTTATGTATTGTATTGCAGGACCATAGTTGAATATTTTCCCTAATGGTAGAAGCTGCTGGATCTTGTTCTAACGCCATTTTAAAAAGAAACTAAGCTTATCATCACTTTGTGATAGAAGGGATTGCATAGGATTTCTTGAAAATCATGGAATGATTATAATAAAAATAAGTCACATAAGTTCTTTAAAACTTAAAAAATGATTTTTCTGCGTCAAACTTGTGGTATAGGTAATATAGGTATTATTGTTTCCATTTATATAGATGAAGTTAAAGCTCATTGGTGAAATGACTTGCCCAAGATCACATAGCTAGTAGATGTCAGAGCTGGGATTTGAAGGCAGGTTCCTTGAGTCCGAGTCTAATGTTTATTCCTCTCCACTGTAAGTAGGTTACATTTTGTCTTAGGCTTACCTGAAATATTTGTAATTAATTTTTATCATATTATGTTTTTCAGCTGGGTGGAAAACTTTGGACATGAAGGTCTTGGGTTATTGCTGGATATTTTGGAAAAACTGATTAATAACAAAAAGTAAGTATTGTTTACATTATTTTATCTGTATTTGTAAATCCAGTTGTTATTATAATATTTCTCATGTCATTCCAGCCAGGCAAAAATTGTGAAGAGGAGTCAGCACAAAGTCATACAGTGTTTGAAGGCTTTGATGAACACAAAGGTAGGAGCGTCTCAGAAAGTGAATGTAGAAATGTGAATAATAGTTAACTTAGGTTTTGTTATCCACAGATCATTTGTCCATTATCTATATGATTTAATAATTCGTCTCTAAATTTTCACTTAAATTTACCTACGTTCACTTAAATTTTACTTAAATATATACTTTATTATTATTATTATTATTATTATTATTATTATTATTATTATTATTATTATTATTATTATTGTTTTGAGCCAGTTGGGATTAAGTGACTTGCCCAGGGCCACCCAGCTAGTGGTCTGAGACCACATTTGAACTCAGGTCCTCCTGACTCCAGGGTCAGTGCGCCACCTAGCTGCCCCTACTGTATTTATTATTTACGTTATTATTTATATTATTAAATTATTAACATGTTTATTTTACAAATGACAAGTATCTGGGAATAAATTGATTCACTATTGCCTTTCCAATGTTTTAATTTTGGAAGTTAATGCAAATCTGTTTTTTAAATGTAACACTTTGAGTAAAATCAACTAAATCACATTTCTTCAGTTCCCACTGGTGATGTTGTATATAGTATTATTTAAAAAACCCTAAGTAGACTATCAGGCTGACTTTTTTTTTTAAGACGTTGTTCTGGATGTTGAATGAACACTGCAGTGTGGGTGCTGATTGCTCTACTCAGTGTTCGGTCAGCCATCTTCAGAAATTCTAATTCCTGTTAAAGGACACCAGTTAACTCTTTTGCTGACCCAGAAGCTCCGTTGGGATGAAGCTTTTAATATTTTTAGGTCCAACCTCTTGATCTGCTAGGCTATGTTTCATAATTTGAGGGAAAATGCTATTATTGGGTCTTTATAAGTTTCTTCGCAGACTGTTATTCTTTTCTATAAAAAAAGGTTCCTCTCTGATGCATAGTATGCGCATCTACTTTTCTGCTTAGTGCCTTGTACATAGGCCTTTAATAATTGCTTGTTGAATTGAATTTATTGCTTTAGTTCATTCTCACTGGTGCTTCTTTCCCACAATGTAGACATGAGCATGAAAAGAGATGGTTCCTTTCCTTTTAAATCCTTTAATCACATCATTATCTTAATCTCTGATTTTTCTGATTGACTATAATATCACAATAACAGTCACATTTCATTCTTATCTCAAATCATTCCAGTTCAGTAATAAATGCTTACAATGCATATTCTTTATGATTATAATAAGCCATTCTGATTAGATAACATATGCTTACAAGGAGAGACTCTGCTCAAATTGTCTGTTACCTTTTGCTCCATTAATTTGTGAGGCTTTCCTAGCTTAACAGGTATTGAAAATCAGCATGGCCTTAGTAGCTGTTCCTTATTGCTCATATCTAATAAGTTATCAGACAAGTCCTGCGGTACCAGTAACTCTGCCCTCTATGTCCCCATTTTCATGTTCCATTCCACTGCCCTAGTAGAGGTCTTTGGTACTTCTATTGCTGTAGTGATGTCATAAGTCTTCCAGTGTCGGCTTTTCTTTATATCAACCCATCTTTCGTACCATTGTAGATGCAGTAAAGTACTGTCTGCAGAATAGGTGCTGAATTTATTATCATTGATTTCATAAAATCCAGATAGTCTCATTCTTCTGATTAGGTGAATTCTACCACTTGGATATACCCTACTCTCTCTGTTGTCTGATAAACTCTTAGAGGGTAGGTCTTTTTTTTTTTTTGGTCTTTGTGGTTCTAGTGCCTATCCTGTAGTGGGTGCTTTATAAATGTTTATTGATTTTCGGTCACAGTGCAGAAGACAGCATGGTACAGTGAAAAGGTCCCTGGGTATTTGGTCTCAAGACATTAGTTTGAGCCTGGGCTCTTTAATTTACTATCTTAGGCACCATGGGCAGGAAAGTCATGACCTCTTTGACTTTTAATTTCTGTATATATGAAATGGGGAAAAGAGGATGGTTGTTGTAAGAATCAAATCACACAAGGTAAGCTGAAGATTTGGTAACTGAAACATATAATGTTAGTGTAAATTTTAAAAAATAATTATTATTGTTCTTAAAGTAGGATTTTCATCTTTAGCCAATATATATGGTTCTTGCTCAAAAGATAGTACTTTTTTTGCTTATTTTTCCCTCTTGGATTTTGTGGTAGAACAAGAGCAAAATGAAATATTAGCCTATATGTTATTTAATCACATCTAAATCTACTTTGGATGACTTTTTAAAAATGAGAATTTTAACATTTTTATTTTCAAAATATTTTAGTATGGTTTGGAAAGAATTATGGGAGAAGAAAAGTGTCTATCATTATTGGCCAAGGCCATGGACCCCCAGCAAGCCAACATGATGGTGGATGTTGTTAAACTTCTTTCTGCAATATGTATTGTTGGAGAGGAAAATGTGTAAGTGTCCCATTTAATTTTTTATAACACTTTACAGCAATATAATTCTTTTATTTTATTAAAATATTCATTAGAATAGCAATTTAAATTTTATTTTAATTGATTCAATAATTTAAAAATGTATTAATAATTATTAAATCTATCATTTTAATTATTGTATTATGAATTTAAATGAGTGATTAAATTGATTTTGTTCATTATAAAATTGATAATTTTTACACCTACTTTTCTCTTTTAGTTTTATGTAAAGTAATTTATCCTTGAATATATTTCTGTAACTTTTTTAGATTGTTTGGTGTCATACAACTAAAATTTTTTGTATAGTTATGATATGCTTTAAATAAAGTTTTACATTATTCTTGTGACATTATCTAAATGCTTTATTTTTTATCTTAGAATTTTTTTTTCTGCTAGGTATTGCCTGCTTTAGTATCTTGAAATGGAAATACTTTTGTCATTGGTTTAATGTAATATATATTTTGAGAGATGTACGTATAAGTTGGTATACTTAACTTTAAGGATAATATATTTAGAAACATGAATTCTAAGAATATTATTCAAATATTAAATTTAAATTAGCCTGTGGTATAGAATGAAGTGCCCCTATTCATCACTAAGAACTTATAAAGAATTAGTACATACACTGATTGAAGAATAATTCTAACCGTGATCTTTGAATATGTTAGCTACCACACTAGATAAATTTCACTTCAGAAGGAACAACTGAATGGTTTCGTTTTTATAAGAGGATATTAACGTTGGCATAGAGAGAGATATAGACTGAATTTTAAGATCCAAGATGACTATGGCACTCTCATTGATTCTCCAGAGGAATAATATAGTTTCCATTGTGGCAAATGCTTCTTGGAATAGAATCGTATTTTTTTGACTTGTTTTGATGATTTCAAAAGAAAAATTGCAAATAAGTGATTTAGAGTTTTGTTGCCTTTTTGGTTGGATTTGTGTCTTGGACTCAGGATATTATAGCTGAAAAAATTGTAGCCAGCAATGTAACAGTGAAAACAAATGTTAAAATCTGTATTATAAATTTTAAAATAGAAACTCATCAGAACAAAAGAACAAATTGACATGGCATATTGAATGATTTCAACATGGATTGTTAGCAAGACTGAAATTTGAACTAGAGTCTTCTGATTAAAAATCCAGTATTCTTTTACAGCAGACTCTGCTGCCTCATCTGTGCCATGAAATGTAGAACATCTGAGTCTAGAAAAAAAATGCAAACTATTGTTATATGAGTTTTTCTATTTTGTATATATTTAACAGTTTATGTTACTATAATAAGCTATTAGCACATTAAGTTCTAAAAGGTTAATCATTTGCTTTCTATGTAGAGTATTAAATTTAGTTAGATCAGGTCATTTTTTTTTTGCCATAGTATTTATTCTGTAAGTGCGCAATCAATTTAATGATGTAAATTTTAATTGACTTAATTTTAGTTTAATAATGCAAATAATTGATTTGTAATTTTTAATAGCCTTGAAGAAGTTTTAGAAGCCTTAACAACAGCTGGAGAAGAAAAAAAAATTGATAGGTTTTCTTCCATTGTAGAAGGTCTTCAGGAAAATTCTGTTCAATTGCAAGTATGTGTTTTATTTCTATTTTAAAGGGTAAATATTTCTGTTTTTGCTTCTACAAAATTTTAAAGTTTTCTTTTCCTAGTAAGTTTCTATTTGAAATGGGAGATAAGTTTAATGTAGTAAATTTTTATTTGAACATTTTGCCTTGCCGTACAAAGTAATTTTTTGACGTGTGTCTGGCTTATAGACGTATCCCACTTTTTAACAGTAGTCTTGAGCCCTAAAAGAAGAATCATTCAGAGCAATGATGCATGAAGCATTAGGCTTTTAATTATCGTCTTTTATCTCGTGTCAAAGAACATGGAGGCAGCAGGTACAAGGGAGAAATGTTTAGGGTATATGACTCTTATGCCCTTAGACAGAGGGGAAGGAGCAGAGATACAATTAAGCTGAAATCACTGGGGGGAGGTTGCTAGTTCCTAGGAGCAGGAAGAATAAGGTTCATTGGTGGTGCTACAAGAAGCTCCTCTTGGACTTGGTACATCCAGATTATAATAAAGTCTTCTCAGGATTTTATCACTTCCAGATCATGGCAACTGATTTGTTCCATAGTTTTTGTAGATTTTATAGAAATAGGAAATCTCCTCACTTAAGGCTTCATAAGTAGTTTAAGAGTATGTAATAAACTCACATTTAGTGCTTCAGAGTTTGCAGAGTATCTTGCTTAAAATAACCCTGTGATATAGATAGTACAAATGTAATACCTATTTTACAGATAAGGGATATGAAGTTTTGAGAGGTGAATTGAATTGTCCATCGTCACACTGCTAACAAATGTCACAAATTAGATTTGAACTCAGGTCTTTTGATTAATTCAAATCTTCTATCCACTGTGCACGTGTGATAGAATTTCAGTAGATAAAGGGACCAGAGAGTTGTTAGGGAGAGGATGGTCTAGACATGGGAAATAATGTAAACTAATGCTGGGAGGCAGAAAATGTGGGCCTTGGGGGAGGGGGTTAGGAAAGGAGGAGATAGACACATGCAGTCCATTTTGGCTGGAGCTTAGATTATGTGGACTGGTTTTTGAGACAGGGTTTTTTCAAGTCTGAAAAAACAGAGTGGTACCAGATTGTAGAGGGCACTGAATGCCAGGATAAGACATCAGAGTCCTTTTCAGATTTCTAGGGAGCCGCTGAAGGATTTTGAATAAAGTGAAATGACCAAATCTGTGAATAAAGATTAAGCTGGCGTGGATATGATTGTTAGAGTAGAGGAGAAAATAAAGGTAGGAGGAAGATTTAGTGTGTTATATTGTAGTAGCCCAGGAGGATTTGATGGGAGGGATTCAAGAAGTGTCAGGGAAAAGGAGGTGACAGGTTTCCAGGATAGGATTTGGCAGGTGAAGGAGAAGGAAGTCAAAGATAACACCATAAATGATTAATATGGAAATATTTTGCATGACTGTATATGTATAACCTATACCTGATTTTGCTTACTGTCTTGGAGGGGGGAGGGTAGGGAGGAAGGGAAGGATAGAATTTGGAACTCCAAACTTTAAGAAGCCCACACAAATGTCAAAAAATTGCATTAACATGTGTTTGGGAAAAATAAAATATATTAAATTAGAAAAAAATTTAAAAAAATTATCAGCCATTAAAAAAAGGAATGGCAAAATATGTTGCATTATTTTGATAATTAAAAAAAGTGTTTCAATGAACTTCCTTAATGAGGTAAGACTACTATTGATATTACTGTTATTGGGAATGGAGATTTAAAGGGGACACTTTGTATTTTTAAGTCATTGCAATGCTAAGATAAGTAATAAAATTTAAAAAAAAAGATAACACCAAGGTTTGGAACATAGGAGACACCATAAGTGGTATATAAGTGGCTGACGGAACATAGGAGACACTATAAGTGGTATATAAGTGGCTGACGGAAATTCGAAAGGAAGAATATGTTTTAGGGAAATAATATGATTAGTTTTGGACCCATGGAGTTTGAGGTACCAATGCAACATCCAGGTAGAGATACTTAAAGCTATTTGAAGATACGAATATAGAGCTTCTGAGAAAACACTAGTGTTAGAAAAGATTGGTTGGGAGGCCACTCAATGGAACAGATATTTATTAAGCCAGAGGACACACCAGTTTAGTGAAAACACAATTCCTACCTTGTTAACCTTATAGTGTAATAAGAGAATTTGACATAATCACTAGTTTGTCTAATGCAAAATAGCATATAAGTACATTAGAAAGTTAAAATGCATTTTTTACTGTAGTGTAAGGTTAAATGATGTTTAGGTAATCAGGTTAGCTTACAAAAGCATGCTAATCCAAGTAATCCATGTTGTAGCTATAATGCAATACGAGAAAACAGTTGAAAACCACCGCTTATAATATGATCGTAAAAATGATAGTATTGAGCAGTATCTGGTGAGAAGTCAGGTACTAGGAATCTCCCAATACCCTTCCTGCCATCCTCCTCAAATAAAAAAACCAAACAAACCAAAAACATCCATACTCATACAACACAATGCTTGCCCCCCTCCTGCCCTGCCCCAAAGTCAGTTGATGGTTGACATACCTCTTGCTTCTAGTGTTAACTAGTCAGTAACCAATAAATATCCATTCCCCAATTGAGAAACTATTTCCATTAACTCTGTACAAAGAGCTGATAAGCACACTTTCATGACAATGTAAGAAACCCCGTCTCATTCCCTGGCTTAAGTGTCAGTGCGTCCTTATTGCCTCTAGGATAACATACAACCCTCTCTGTTTGTCATTTGAAGCCTTTCACAATCTGACCCAGCCTATCTTTTCAGGCTGCTCATGCAGTGTTCTCTCTTGGGCACTCTTTGCTTCAGGAAAACTGGTCCACTTACTGTTCCTGAACATGACATTCTATTTATTGCCTCTGTTCTAGCTGTTAGACATGCCTTCTCCCTCCTTTTTTCCCTCACCCCCTTGAGGACTTGGCACAAATATTATCTTCAAAGACTGCTTATTTTCCATTCCTACTGAGAGTGTGAATGTATATGTTGAGAGAAAAGTCCAATGATAGAGCTTTTAGGAGCACCCTAGATTAGCGTAAGAGATAATAACAATGCTAATGACATCTGATATTTAGGTAGCGTTTTTAAGATTTGCCAGACAGCTTACATATATTTCCTTAATTATTTCTCGTGGCTGTGTGAGATAAATACTATAGTTTTTATACATATTTTACTTATGGAAAACCTGAGGCTTAGAGAATTTAAGTCAGTGTATTTGTGATCACACAGCTGTAAGTGTGAGAAGTAGGACCTGAACTCCAGTGTCTATTCTTTACTCTCTAGTGAAACAGAGTGAGCTAAATCTTTGGTATAGTTAAGATCTTGTTGGCAAGCTTAGATAAAGTGCAAGTGGTTCATAGATAAGTGGGAGGGGAGGGATTGGAAGCAAGAAAGGTATACAGCCCTTTTGTAAAACAGAAATGTGACTGTGAAGTAAGAAATATTACACTGATTTGAGGGTAGAGCAATGAAATGATTTAGGTTTTTTTTTTCTTCCAGAAGAATATTTGTGCATATTTGTGGCAACAGGGAGAGAGGAAGTAGGTAAGGAGAAATTGAAGGATGAAGTAGAAGGATTGGCCTAGGCAAGGAGAAAGGCCATATTTCCTCAAATAGCATAAAGGAGGAGAGAATTCAGAATGATACAGAGTTTTTGAGAGGTAGAGTTGTGAAGAAGGAGCTCATTGCATATGAGTGATGTGATAGGAGCTGTGCTTTGGTGAAAGTCAGGAGATAGTTTCAGGGGCTTGATGGAGGTTAGAGGGCAAAGTCAGTCCCTGTTGATTGGTGACTGGTTAAACAAAGTGTTGTACATTAATGTAATGGGATATTATTTCGCTATCAGAAATGATGCATGTGAAAAATTCAGAGGACCATTTCCAGATGAAATGATACAGAGTGATGTAAACAGACTCAGGAAAACAGTGCACTATGACAACAACAATAATCACTACCATTTATTATAGTGATCTTAAGGTTTGCAAAGCCCTTTACAGATGTTATCTCATTGATGTACTTAGCATAGTGCTTAGCAAATAGTAGGCACTTTATAAATGCTAGTTATATGACTGAAAAATGTAAATAGAACAAGAAATTGAAAACTCCACTGTTCTTATTGTTCTTTGACTATAAAAACATTTTATTAGGGAGAATAAACTGCAGCCTTAAAAATTCTCCTCCAAAAAGTTGTCTCCATTGCATGTCAAAATTTATGAGATTTCTTGAAAGATATAACAACAGAGGTAACCTTGTTTTACAAGCCTTTGATCATTAATATCACACAATGCACAAAACAAAGTTACATATCCTTGCCAAAGAAAATAATATACTATCATAGAGGAAACCTAGTGCTGAATACAAAACAGAGAGGGTGGTGAGGGGTTCCATGGGCTATTTGCAGAAGAAATAGTGATGGTAATATCAAGCTCTGGAAACTTGGAAAGCCTCCTAAATGAGATATGTCCTTATTTAAGTGATTTTATTATCCACACAGGAAAAAACACATGTATGAATAATGATTACTTCTCAGAATATTTGGATAGAAACACTATTTTGTCCATCAGTACATACGTCTTAGACAGCCAGTGATTTGGACCTTCTTTTTGGAAAGGAGGAAAACATTAGGCTAGATTACCTTGGAAAATGTCAAAGATCTTTGAGTAGCCCCAGGCTTCTTTCAAAAACAAAAGGTTCTGTCTTTCAGTGTGCCAATGGTTTCCAAATGATGATGTATATATATGATAGTGGATCATGGAACTCAATAATCTCTAAATTGAAATTGAGGTTAATTCAAAGGATGGTAGGCACTTAATAAATGCTTGTTAGTGGGCATATCCTTTTGATCACTGTTCAGAGCTCCAGATTTGTTTATGCATCTGCCCATAAGACATTTCCATGTGTATATGATTCTATTATCTTAAATTCAAGATGTCCCAATCCAAGCTAATTGTATTTCCCCCTACACCTCTTCTTTTAAAACAGTTTCATTATTTCTGTTTTGTTGTTCTGCATATCCTGCTTTTTATATTCATAGCATTGCCTTCCATCTTTGACCCTGTCATAGCTATTCAGTTACCATATCATGGCTATTACACTTCTGCATCCTCTTTTCCTTTCAGTTATTGTATTTCCATTATAATTTCCTCGTATAGGCTCTTGTTACCCTTTACTTGAACTATTACAATAGAGTTCTAATAATCCTTCCCCTCCTCTATTCTTGCTTCTTAAATTAAAAAAAAAACATTTTTATTTATATCCTTTTGGTTTTTTATCACCTATATTTCTCAATATATGTCCCATCTCCTTCCCAACTACCTGTCCCTTATAACAAAAAATAAGAAAAAATATTTTAATTTAAGTTAACCAACACATTGAAAGTTTAACATGATGTACTTATGCTATACCTTTAATTCCTTAGCTTTGTGAATTAAGTGAGGGAAAAGATACCTTTGGGGCCAAGCTTGGTTTTAATTTCTCAGCATTCAGTTTTGATTACTTTATTTTTGTTGTTATTTTTATTTAAACTATTGAAGTCTTTATATGTGTGTGTGTGTGTGTGTGTGTGTGTGTCTGTGTATATATCTATATCTATCTATCTATCTGTCTATCTATCTATCTATCTATCTATCTATCTATCTATCTATCTATATGTTTTCCTCATTCTGCTTGTTTTGCTTTGTATTGGTTCATTTAAGTTTTCCCATGCTTGTAGATGTACATTATATGTGTGTGTATGTATGTGTATTAGCCATCATTTCTTACCACACAGTAATATTCTTTTACGTTCATGTGCCACAGCTTCTCTAATCACTTTCTAGTCAATGTCATCTACTTTATTTCCTTTTCTTTGGTACTGTAACAAAAGATTGTTACAAATATTTTAGGGGTGTATTGGGCCTTTTTGTCATTGACTTCCTTAAGATTTATGTCTTGCAATGGAGTCTGTAAGTCAAAGTGTATAGATACATTTTTTTCTTTAAAAAAAAAGTTTAATTTCCCATTACTCCTTTCTCCTAATCACCAAGCCATACTTATAACAAATATACACAGTTAAGCAAAATAAATTATAACTTAGGACATATTTGACAATAGTCTAGGCTCTCTATACCAAGAGATAGTAATCATGCTTCAGCTTTAGCTCTCCGAAGTTGTGATCTCTACTATTATGCCTCAGCTTTGACTCCTTCCAATCTACCCTTCATGTTCCTACAAGAATAATTTTCTTTATGAGTAGATCTTATATTATTACTTCTCTGCTCATTGATATTCAGTGTCTTTCAATTGCTTCTTTAGTAAAATTCGCTTTCCTCTCCTCATTTTATCCTTTACTTATGCTCATCCCTCTCTTCTGGAATTCCTCTGAACGTAGAGACTTTGTCTTTTCTAAACATTTCTGTTTTCCCAACTAGTAATGTGCATATAGTAAGTATGGAATAAATGATTTTTAATGCTTGATCCTTTTCTGGATTGTTTTAAATCTTTTGCTAGAAGTTGTTATTTAAGCAAGGTTGTGAAAAATGTTTTTTAAAATATAAAGTCATCATATGCCCTAATTTTATTAATTGGCTTTAAAATTATTAATTATTAAATTTATTTATAAATCCATAAATTATTTAATTATTAAAGATTAATTATTAGAAAACTAATTTTGTCTATCATTTTTAAACTAAAACTTTTAGTTATATGAATAACAGAGGTAAATCTCTACATGCCCTCAGTGCATCCTATGTGTCCCCTTCTGTATTGCTTTTTTCTCTTTAGCACATTAAATAGTGTTTTATTGATTCTCTTTTATCTATATCAATCTGTATCCATTTTCTATCCTTCCTTCGGTAAAATTGTCCCATACAACAAACATGTATAGGCAAACAAAAAAAAATCAATGAACTGACCATGTCAGAAAATGCATGTCTAATTCTGTATTTGTAGTCTATCCCCTCTGTTAAGGGAATGGAAGGTTTGGCCGCAGGGAAGGGAGGGGGGAGGCCCTCTATCTTCTGTCTTTTGAAGTTGTGATGTAGGTCACTGTTATAATTAGACTTCTAAAGTCTTTCAGAATTTTTTTTCCTTCACATTGTTATCACATAAATTGTTCTTTTGGTTGTTCTCACTTCATTTTATATCAGGTCATACAAACTTTTCTAGATTTTTCAGAATCTGTCATACTGCCTAAAGCACAAACATATAAAAATTGAGATAGTGTGTCCATATAGAAAACAAATAATATAAAAGGTTCATCTAGGCAAAATTATTATCTAATTGAGTAAAATGGCTAGTTGTGCACAAAGTATAGATTGTATTAGTTAGTCTAACTCACCTTACTGTTCAAAACAACCATTTTATGTGAGCAAAAGATATCAAATTACAGAATTGCATTAATCATTTCTTAAGGCACAGAATTTTATTTCATTTGTATAAAACAATTTGTTTAGCCAGTCCCCACATGATAGGCATCTATTTTGTTTCCACTTCTGCAATCTTATGACTACAAACATCCTTGTACATGTAGGTCTTTTCTCTCTGTCCTTGACTTCCTTGAGGATATATGCTTAATAGCAGAATGATTGGCTCAAAGGTTATATACAACTTAGTGACTTTTTGGTTATAGTTTCAAATTCTTTTTCAGAATGATTGCATGAATTCAGAGCTGTGTTTGCTTTATACCAGTGTTCCCATTTTTTCACAGTCTCTCTAAAGCTGTCTTTGTCTTTTGTCATCTTAATCAGTCAACTAACAAGCTATTAATACATGTCAGATTCTATAATAAATGCTAGGGATGTGAAACAGAACCGAAGAGTTGCTTTAATTTGCATTTCTCTTATTTTTTAACGACTTGTGGTATTTTTTATATGGTTGTTCATAGTTTTACTTTCTTCATTTGAGAAGATCCTTTCTACTCTGTTGGCACTGAAAATATTCTCAGCTATAGAGATCCGACCCATTGTGTTTGCCTATATTTAGTGGAATTTAACGTTTGAGTAAGAGATTTCCAGAATGAATTTTTTAATAGAGTAGAAATCTCTGATAGTCATGTAAATGAAAAAACTTAAATAACTTTAAAGTTATGTTTAGATTTTGTTGTTCATCGTTTCAGTCATGTCCAACTCTTAATTCCATTTGGGGTTTTCTTGACAAAGTTGCTGGAGTAGTTTGCCATTTGCTTTTCCAGCTCATTTTACAGACCAGGAAGCTGAGGCAAGCAGGATTAAATGACTTGCCCAGAGTCACACAGCTAGCATGTGTGTGTGGTTGAATTTGAATTCACATCTTCCTGACTCCAGACCTGATATTTCATCTGCTGTGCCATCAAGCAGCCCCCCATGTTTAGATTTAGTTTTCTCCACAATATTTTACTTAAAATAAGGGTTCTTTAAATCCTTGGTCCTATAATAACAGTGGCAATTCTGCAGCTTTTGAAAAAAATAGATATTTTAATTTTGTCCTGTTAAGAGTAATTCTCTTGATATTTTCTGTTGTAGGTAGCTTGTATGCAACTTATCAATGCCCTTGTAACATCTCCTGATGACTTAGACTTCAGACTTCACATCAGAAATGAGTTTATGCGTTGTGGATTGAAACAAATACTGCCTGTAAGTGCAGCTTCTCTGTATTACCAGTCTTTGAGTTTTTTAGTCTTAGGACCTGTTCATATTCTTAAAAATTATTGAGTTTTCATTAAAATATTTGTATTTCTTAATGAAAAAAGATTATTAAGGACTTTCCAAAGAATTTTTATTTATGTCAATTATGTCTGTTGATATTTAGCTTTATTAGAAATTAAAATGTCTTAATATTATTTTGAACATACTTTTGAATTTTTAATCTAGTAAATAGGGGATTTTGGGGACACACGAGTCCTCAGACTACACTAAGAGAAACATTCTTTATATATAAATTAGAAGACTACTTGATTGGAAAAAGAATTAGATAAAAAGCTTCTCTGAAAAACTGATTTTTGTTCTTTGATCTTTGTTCTTTAAAATTTAACAATTTTTTGTAGTATGTGCTGGAAATAGACAGTTTAGGCCAGCTCAGTTATAATCACTCCAAAATGATTTTTAAAATAGCATTATTTTTATAGTTTTTTAATACTATGTTTGGAAAGGAATGCTGTGTCCAGAATTACTTACCAATGATTTCTACTTAATTTTATTACAGAATTTGAAACATATCAAAAGTGATAGTCTAGATATCCAACTTAAAGTATTTGATGAACATAAGGAGGAAGATTTTGTTGAGTTCTCTCATCGTTTAGAAGATATCAGAGCTGAACTAGAATATCCTTTTTTGCTGAAATGAATTTTTTTGAACATGAAAAATTGGAATTTTTAAAGACTCACTGTGAGAAATGAAGTTTAAATCTAAACAAATGTAATAGAATCTTTATAAAATAGCTGTTGTGTAAGAACTCAGAGGATGATACTTTTAATCTATTGGTTATTGTATTTGTGGAATGTGGTGTGACTGACTGTATATTTGGTCCCTCAAGGGAAAGATCATTAAGTGTAAAATGTCAAAATATTTAAATGCATACAATAATGAGCTGATCTATAACCAAATTTTAATGTTCATTTTTTAAAAAGAAATAATTAAATTTTGTTTAAATAATACAGTACTTTTATTGAGTATTAGTATACTCAATAATTACTTCATCCATCTATTTGTTCTGTTCCTTAACTGATTTACTGAAGTGAATGATGTTTACAATATGTTATGGAATACAGTGAAGGAAACCAGAGCAGAAGGATATTTTCTTTCTATACTTCAGCATCTTTTGCTCATCAGAAATGATTATTTCATACGGTAAGCTGAGTCTGACTAACATAATCCTTACCTTTATTTGTATAACTTATTATTTTCTAAAATTAGGTGATAACTTTAGCTAGGTGAACCTTTCTATTATCTGCTTATATGTATAAGTGCTATATCAGTTTTTTAGTTCTCATGTGCTTTATGTAATGTGTTTAAAAGCTAAGATGTTGAATGCCAGATTATTATATTATTGTCATTCAGAGCAGGCTTAAGTTCGCTCAGGCTACTTTCATTTGAGAAGCCATGGAAATAAAATACATGAATTAATAATTACTAATGGAGCATGTGTTTGTCAGTAAGAGCAGGTATTTTTTTAGCTCTGCCATCATGTGCAAATATCATATATGCCTACTCTAAAGTGTGTTGGCAATATTTTCCAGGTAGTTTTCAAGACTGTATATTAGTATAGTGGCCAAAAATTTTTTTTGTTCAACCCATATAAAAAATACAAATTTTTGTGTTTTCTACAGTAGTATAAAGTTTTTTTAAAAGCTATTTTCTTATGTTATTGTCTGTGTCCATTCAAAATTACATCACAGAAAGGGTGTAGTTTGTAGTTCTTTATGTTTTTCACAGGTAAATTTAGTTTTAGAAATGTACATCCTTACATTTCTTGACCCTTGGAGCAGCTAGGTGGCGCAGTAGATAGAGCACCCGCCCTGAAGTCAGGAGGATCTGAGTTCAAATCCGACCTCAGACCACATATTTGATGCTTACTAGTTGTGTGACCCTGGGCAAGTCACTTAACGTTAACCCAATTGCCTAAAAAAAAGAAAGAAATTAAAAAGAATTCTACTGCCATTGGGGCAGCTAGATGGCGCAGTGGATAGAGAACTGGCCCTGGTGTCAGGAGGACCTGAGTTCAAATTCGGTCTCAGACCATATACTTGACACTTACTAGCTATGTGACCCTGGGCAAGTCACTTAACCTCAACTGCCTTGTTAAAAAAAAAATTCTTGACCCTGAAGGTGCTGGCAACTATAAATATAACAGGATTCAATATGTTGTAATTTCATTTGCATATCTTTTGGCCAGTGCTGTTTGCTGCACTGAACTGGGTAGAATCTGATACTTATTCTCCCTAAGCTCTTGTTTTCAGGGCTCTTGTGACCCAGTTTGTGTTAACTACCACCAGATTAGATTCGTTTTTTAGTGAATCCATGTTTAAATGGTTCATGAATGAACAAACTTATTTCATGCAAAGCATTGGTCAAGATGGCACTTGGGGAGATAGCAAGAGAGCTAAGATATGCTTCTTACTATTATTGACTCTGTACTCTATCAAGGACATTCACTATATGAACCAAGGTGCAATACTATCAAGTAAATATAACCTTATGATCCCATTGGTGTGTGGACCAAAGTATTAAGAACTATTTTCATAAAGACAACTGAAATGCAATGGACTGTCCACAAAATTCAATATTTAGTTTGGCTTTTTTGAGTATTTACTTAACTATAGGCAAATAATGCAAAGTTATATCTTTATAATCAGTATCATAAAATAAAAAAAATCGATGCTCAGATGCTGTTCCAGCATCTTTAGATTTAGAAATGAAAATAGAACTAATGTTCAAAATTAGAAGCATTGACATTAGAAAGCCTTTGGGAGCTTTGGCTTTTCCTTATATTTGAAATTTCTTTCCTATCCTTTTCCAGTAGGCCTGTTAGACATTTTATAACGTCTTTAACATTTTAAATTTGACATTATTTCCTCTTTTAAATAGCTGAAGCGGTTTCTTTTTATGTGTTTAAAACTTATTTTGAACGTGATAAAATATAGCAAATTGTTTTTCAAACATAGAAAGGAGTCATTTCCTCATGGATAAGGAGCTTCCAGGTATAGAATTGACATCACACCGTTTGGTTTTTCTTTTCTTTTTTGAAGTAATATTTTATTTTATTTTTTTTAAGTGAAGGGAAGTAACTTTTTTAAATTTTTACAATTTTTAAAATTAATTTATTTTTAGTTTTCAGCAATCACTTCCATAGGTTTTTGAGTTTAAAATTTTTCTCCCTCTCTATCCCTGCTCCCTCCCCAAGAGGGCATACAATCTGATATAGCCTCTATATGTACATTCCTATTAAACATATTTTCACATTTGTCATGTTGTAAGGAAGAATTAGATATATATAATATATGTCTACATAATATATATCAATATAACCAATAACCAATAACCAATTAGAACCAATAACCACAAGAAAGTGGAAACAAAACAAAACAGAAGGGAAAAAAAAGAGCAAATAACATGCTTTGATCTGCATTCAGACTCCGTAGTTCTTTCTCTGGATGTGGATAGCATTTTCCATCATGAGACTTTTGGAGATGTATTAGATACTTGCATTGCTGAGAGGGGCTAAGTCTATCAAAGTTAGCCATTGCATAACGTAGCTGTTACTATGTCCAACATTCTTCTGGTTCTGCTTACCTCTCTCAGCATCAGTCCATAACATTTTATTTTTTTTCCCGATTACATATGAAGACCATTTTTAACATTCATTTAAAAATTTTTTTGAGTTCCAAATTTTTCTCCCTACCTTCCTCCCTCTCTTCTCCCTTCCCTAAAATGGTAAGCAATTTGATGTAGGTTATATATGTGCTGTTATGTAAAACATATTTCCGTATTAGTCATGTTATGAAAGAAGAAACAGACCAAAAGAAAAAAAATAAAGAAAAATAGTGTGCTTTGATTTGCATTCAGACGCCCTCAATTCTTTCTCTGGATGTGGATAGCACTTTCTATCATGAGTGCTTTGGAATTGTCTTGGATCTTTATATTGCTGACAAGAGCTAGGTCATTCATAGTTGATCACTGAAGAATGTTGTTACTGTGTACAGTGTTCTTCTGGTTCTGCTTATTTCACTCAGCATTAGTTCATATAAGTCATTCCAGGTTTTTCTGAAGTCCACCTGCTCATTATTTCTTATAGCACAATAGTATTCCATTATATTCATATACCACTCCTTGTTCATCCACTGTCCAATTGACGGGCAGCCCCTCAGTTTCCAATTTTTTTTTTTAGGCTATTGGGGTTAAGTGATTTGCCCAGGGTCACACAGCTAGTATGTGTCAAGTGTTTGGTCTGAGGCCAGATTTGAACCTCAGGTACTCCTGACTTCAGGGTCAGTGCTCTATCCACTGCGCCACCTAGCTGCCCCTCCAATTTTTTGCCACCACAAAAAGAGGTGCTGTAAATATTTTTGTACATGTAAGTCCTTTTCCCTTTTAAATGGTCTATTTGGGATATAGATTTTGTAGTGGTAAAATTATTATTTTACTGTCATTAGCCAATCTAGTAGCACTTTTTGTTTTTTTCTTGCCTTGACTATCTTGAAAAAGAGTCAAAGAAAAGGAACCTTTAGTAAAATGGAAGGTGATTCTAGAATACAAAGTGTAGCAAAAGTCTGAGGAAACTGGAGCTGATAACAAGGGTGGGAGTTGGTTAGAGGAAATGTCTAATGAAAGGATCTTTAAAGAAAATTTCTCAAAGGTGTGAAGAATTATGAAAGGATGTTTAAAGAAAATTTCTCATAGTTGTGAAGAATTATAAAATTTTAGAGTTGGCCATCTTGTCTACCTCACATGACTAATTATCTCTTTAATTGGAGAATTTGCCAGGAATTAAGTCCAGTTCACTGGCGTATAGTTTGTATACTCTTCTTCTCTTCCTCTTGAAAAAATGAGCATAAATTTAGCCCTGTCTAGTCCTTTAGTATCTATCCTGTTCTGTGCATTATTTTATATATCACTCATATATGCTTATCAATCAAGTATTCTAGCTCAATTTATTCTGAGCTGTAGCCCTCTTGAAGCTATTTTTGCACTGTTGTCTCAGCTTTCTTTCTTTGTTCTCTTGATTCCATCTTTTGCCCAGGCCTTTTTATTTTTGCATATTTTTGAAGTGTTTTTGATAGTGAGCTTTCCCCTATAAAAAAAGAAGAAAAAATCAGTTAAGGAATATCAAATGATAGCAGTGACCATGTTTCGCTGCATATTGCAATGTTCCACATCCATGCTCCCTTATCTCCACAGCTGAATAAGAGAGATATCTTTCCTTACTGTTTCTCTGCACCCGAGATTGATTGTTACTATTAAACAAAATGCTAAGCATTTTCTAGTTTTAGTTTCTGTTGTTTTCCTTGTATTCAGTGTCTTTCCCATGATTTGCCCAAGGTCACATAGGTAGTAAATTGCAGTTGGATTTGAACCCAGATCCTGTGATTCCAAATCAGTATCTTTTCCCTTTAATTTCCTTTTTTTCCCCAGTTAACACAGACCTTTTTCTGTTTCCTTTGCCTTATGTAATAATTGTCTTCACTTGTTCTCTTACCTCTTTAAATTCTGTCTTCCATTGATTCTTTCCTCTCCACCTACAAATATGTTCATGTTTCAGCAATCCATTTTTTAAAAAAGAAAATAAAACTAGTTTGCTCACTTCTCAAACTGATTTTCCATCTTTGTGCTGTTGTTTACTGCCAAAACTGTAGGAATAGCCTGTACTCCTGCTTTCTGTTCTGCATTTTACACTCTTCAACCCTTTTCAATATTGCTTCCTTTTCCACCACTCTGCAGTGACAGTTCTCTTCAAAAGTACAGAGTACAACCGTCAGATTCAATGATTTTTTTTTCCTACTCCTTCATAACTTCTTTTCGTATTTGAAATCTGGTCATTTCTTCTTTAATCTTCTTCTCCCTTGCCTTCTATGAAACTTGTTACCTCTTGCCTTTCATTCCATCCTTTTCATTGGTATTTTTTTTCCTGCTCCTTCACTTTCCTCCCCCAATATACACATTCCCCTATATTCTTTGCGTTGGTAGTCTCATACATATCTATTAAAAAAAACCCCACACTTATCTCTATTCTGTTCCCATCACTTAGACTGGAGCTGCAGGTAGTTCTCATGTTATACCCCCAAATTTTGGGCAATTTAGGGATCAAGAGATAATTAAGAAGTTTGGGAAAAATAAGGTTGGTTCCAGATCAGACTAGCAACCAACTAATAAGCCTTTTTAATATCACAGATGCAATAAACTTAGGAGCCAGGCACAAAACAGTATATATAAACAAAACAATATAAATATAAAAACAAAAGTTCCATATGGAGGAAGGTCAGGAAAACTGCCTGGATAAGGAAGAGCTGAAGTACGCCTAGCATGACAATTTAATCCATAAAGAAATCAGTATCCTTTTTATGGTTGCTATCACCCTCTTCTCTGTACTGGAGTCCACGTAGCAATATGGGCTTCGACAAAGTTATGTGGACTTCCAAACTGTCGTCTGAGCTTGATACCCACATCTGTTGGGCATCAACAAACAGATGTCGCAATTGTACTTCAGTTATCAAGGTTTTACTTCTCTTCCAAAATCTTTCCTCTTAAACTTGTTCTTCTTGATTTTTCTGTTGTTAATGCTACCAGCATTTCCCAAGTAATATGTGCTTGAACTTCTAGAATCATCATCTAGTTTTGTTTGTCTCTCACCTTGATGTAAACTCCTCTTTTTGTCTTTCCTTTATGTTCCTTCCTTCCCATTTTAGCCATCATCACCATCGTTTAGGCTATTACAACTTCATAGCAGGAGAAAAAGAGATGGTACTGTATTATGCCTTTATCAGACCTCATCTGGTGTATTGTATTCCATTCTGGGCACCATATTTTAAGAAGGACATAGTTAAACTGAATAGTGTCTAAAGGAACATGGCCGGGACAGTGATACATTTTTAATTTATGTCATATTAAGAATTGGAGATTTGCAGCATAGTGAAGAAAAGTGATGACAAAATATTTCAACCACTGTCCTTAGAAGGTGGGATCGTAGTTGATTCCAGAGGGAGCAATGTGTAGAAGTTGTAAAGAGAAAAAATTAGCATTGATGTTAGGACAAAACTTATAGTATTTAAATTGTTGCAAAATATAATGGGTTGAGGTGGTAAGTTCTTTGTCTTTGGAAGTCTTCAAGCATAGGTTAGATGACTACATATAGAATATATCATGGCATGGATTTCCTTTTGTGTAAGGTTTGTACTAGATGGCTACTGAGTCTCAAATTCAACTCTCAAAATTTGTATTTCTCTGGTTTCTGCCCAAAATTGGAGGGACTGAATTTAATTATAGTCAGATTTTGGTGAAATAATTTCATTCTGGTTCTACAGTATAAATAATAGGCTATGCATTAAGATGGTTAACCATTTTGTTTAATACTAGCCCTATGTTAAACCTATTATAGTTGTTTTTGTCATTTTGGAATATTAAACATTAAAACTAAAAAGCTAGATTCCTAATAATGCATTTTCTTGAGATATCACCAATGTGGATTTAAATTTCCTCTTTTTCTTGGCTTTAGACCACAATATTTCAAATTAATTGAAGAATGCATATCTCAGATAGTATTACACAGAGATGGAACAGATCCTGATTTTACATATCGAAAAAAACTAGATGTTGATTTAAGACAATTTGTAGGTAAGTATGTTATTTGTTTATAGAAAATTAAAAAAACTTTTTAAGTTATGAGGAGGTTCAGGAGTAGATCATATAAGGAATCTCTTGTTTTTATAATTGCAGATGTTTGTGTTGATCAAGCAAAACTAGAAGAACTTGAAGAAAAAGCATCAGAATTTTCCAGGAAAGTAAGTAATTGTGATGAAATGGGTGAGATAAAGAAGAATAATCATAGACTTCTAGAAATAGAGGGATATATGTGAAGTATATTTATGTTAATAAGTGAAAAACTATATGTACATTTTCAAAGAGAAATTATTTTTATATTCCATTCTTGAAGTTCTTTAGAATCTCAAATTTTTCAGTTTTGTCTACCATCAGTATTTTTTCTTTTTAGTGAGGCAGTTGGAGTTAAGTGACTTGCCCAGAGTCACACAGAATATCTTTTTCCTTATGTAAGTTGAGCATAGTTTAGACCTCTACTCTTTCTCTTGATTTGTTCACTCATGTAATTTTTATTCATGTTGACAGGTTTGGGATTCCCAAAGGAACTTATGCTGTGGTACTGCAACTCATTGTTTTCTTACAAGGTCCTTGGGGTTACCCTAATGTGTTTGTGTATATAGAATATGTGTCTATTACCATTCTAGTTCCTGAGCCCCCATTGGTAATCTTTGTATGTGTACAAAATCCATCAACCACAGTAGCACTATTCACTCCCAAACACAAAATGTTTATTAAATCATCAGGTAAAAAGCAATAGTGATAATATTTACTCAATAGAAAACAAAACCAGAAATGAGCAAATCCCTAGCCACCCATAAATCTTGGTTGTACTCATCAGTGCATGTAGTGTCCCTGGGGGAAAGTAGGTATACATCAATAGAAATCTTGTAGAAAGTTACATGAGTGGGAGAAACCCACATGCCTGTGACATTTCACAAGTGTGATCTTGCATGTATTGCTGTCCCTTGCCACTTTAGGAATAATTTGTTTTACACAAAGATGCTTCCCTATTAATTGTCCTTCTGGTCTTCACCACTCTTATGCTACGCAAAGCCATCCTTAGTAAGGTACTGAGAAAGTGTTATGCTTTTTTAAACCTCCATTCCCTCTAACCCCCAAATCACCACTGTATACAGAGCTCTGCAAGGTGGCTCCTGGAACAGTGCAGGCAAACTCTAACCATGTGTTCATCTAATAGGATTTTGTTTTCTTCAGTTAGCTTCTAATAAAGCAGAGCCTTTTATCTAATAAGTGCAGTTTGAAGAAAAAATAAGACTCTCAGCTTTTCTCCTTCTTTTCCTCCCTCTCTAACCACAGAGGGCAGTAAAGGGCAGCTACATACTCCTGATAGGTTTCTTTCCTTTCAAACTACAAATTGCATTAAACAGCAACAAGCTAGAAATCTCTGTACACAGGAGTGGGTTTCATCTCTCGACATTTCTGTGTAGCATTGAAGAGCTGACTCTAGTGACCCAACTCTTTTGCAGCCAGTCAGCGTAGTTAGATTTCTCTTCCAATTAGCTGGCTCTCAGCTAATAAACTGGAGTCCCCTCTTTCTTGTGTTTTATCCCTACCTTCCTGTGACTCTTCCTTCACTTAGCCCACTTTCCAGCTTGCTCTTTTGTTCTTCTCTTCTCATAAAGTTGTTTTTGGCTTCTAATTCGTTAACTCAGAGTCCTCATAAGCAGTGATGTAAAACTTAATGTTTCCACCTTTTGTTAGGTATGCCTCCAGCAATCCTTGTACAATGTTCCCATAGTCTCCAACCAGTTATTTTATTTGCAATTTTGTATTTATACCTATAAAACTCTAAAAACAGTCCCATGCAAATAAGCTGATGGACAACAGTGCTGTACAGTCATTTTTCCTTCATTCATTGCTCAGTAATATATGGGAGTCCCCTCCATATGTTTGTCAAAACTCTCTCTGTTTCTTAGAGTAGTCTGTAAATTTTTTTTCAACATTTTGTCTGTGGGGCTGTATTTCTTCTCACATTGACTGTTACCAGTTTTCCTTATATAAATACTCTTTTTTTGCCCCTTTTAGCAACCAAAATTTCTATAGGCAAAAAGCAACAATAATTTACACTTAGTTTAGTGGTGTTCTGTATATTTTTTCCATGTTTAAAATATATCTTAAAAATAAGTAGACTAAAGTCAGACCTCATGTCTATACAAATTGTACTCATTTTGGTTGCAATCAAGACAGTTCAGACCTAAAGCAAGAGTCATGAAAAAGTGGTTTTATTTTCTCAGGTAATGGTGCCTGGATTCTATAAATTGTATAGCCTAGATCCATATACTTGCTTTTTAAAAAAAGTTTTGATAACTTTATTTTGAAATAATTAGTTTTTGTTATAATCTATGTATGTTTTCATGAATTTAGAAACACTATTCTAAGAAGGATTCCCCAGTGTGCCAAAGTAGTTTCTTGACACAAAACAGGTTAAGAATCCCTGATTTACATTAAAGATGATGCTGCTGAAAATTCAGCAAAGAAGTTATTATAAATTATTATTTTTCATGTAGTAGCATTTATTTTTAAGATTTTTATATTTTTATTTTCATGAAAAGGATCAAGTTTGTAACTATCTGTATTAATTAAGTCACCTTTATATAGAGGAAAAAATTCAGCCTGCATCTTTATCTCTGTCACTGCCAGAATACTGTGTGAATGCTGTTGTTTGCTAAGATTACTTGGAAAAAGGGTGGATGAGGGAGCACAGTGATTGCCACCATTAGAAGACAATTCAATTCGAATCTGCCCTGCTGTTAGCATGCCATTTTCATTATCAGTGTATATGAAGAGTGTTTATTTCAAGTCTATTTTTCTTTTCAGTTTGAAAAAGAATTTACAGTTCACCAAGAAACTCAGTCCCAATTACAGAAAAAAGAAGAGAAGATCACTGAGCTCCAAGCAGAGTTACAGGCTTTTAAATCCCAGGTAAAAAACAAATCTGCATGAGTTAGCAGAATGGATGGATCTGATTTCCTAAGTGTTTTTTCATTTCCCAATGCAGTTAACATGTTCTTTACACCTTTTTCATACCATATAATTCTTTGTTGTCAAAAATCTTCCATAAAACATTCATCCAATTCGCTTGATGTCTTAATATGTGTCTCTTATTTAATATCTGTCACTCCTATTTCTCACTATTATTGTATAAGTGGCCTCTTTCCTTTTGAGCTCATACTTGGCTTTGGGTATGAATTTAATCTTATTTTACATCTATATTAACATTCTGAATGTATCATATTATGCCATCATGTTTATGACTCCCTGCCTTTTGAGTTACTAGGAATCTTCAGAGATTGTAGTATTCCATGATTCTCAGAGAATGTATGAGATAAAGATAGGTACTTTTGTAGGTGTGAGTAGTTGGTGATCTCATTAGCTGTCATGGGTTCAGTTATTTAGGTATTTAGGTAATTTCTAGATCTATATAGCTGGCTCTAATCTTTTTCCTCAGTTCCAGTTACAGACCACCAGTTACAATTTGGACACTTAGATTTGGATGACTTGTAAGCATCTAAAGCCCAGCATGTCCAAATCAGGAGTCATCATCTGTCCTCGGAAACTCTACCCTCTTCTCAACTTTTCTATGACTATAGAGGTTAGCACCATTCTCTTAGTCACTTGGGTTTGCAATTTCAGTGTCATCCTCAGCTCCTCATTCTCATTTGTCCTACCTATCCCATACATTGTCACATCTTGTCTTTGCTAAAATTCCAGCACCTTTGATATATGTCCACTTCTTTGTACTCACATGAGTACCATCCTAGTACAGGCCTTCATTACCTCTTTCCTGGAATATTGTAATATCCTTTCCTTAACACTCTCCTTCCTCCAATACATACTTAGCTGCCAAAGTGTTTTTTTTCTAAAGTACAGCTCTGACCATATCACTTCCCTCTCCATAAACTCCAGTGGCTCCCTTTATCTGTAGGATCAAATATTATTTCTTTATTTGATATTTAAAACATTTTGTCACCTGGCCCTTTTTATCTTTCCATGCTTATTATATTATCTTTTACTTCTTTCCATGAAGTCTACAATCCAGTTACACTGACCTACTTTCTGTTCTTTTACCTGAAATGTATGTGAATGTACATACTTACAAGCATATTTATTATGTGTTTTTATCGTGTATGAGTATAGAGAGAAGCACATGTGGTATTTGGATAAGAAGCATTTTTCATCCACTTTTGTGTGTGTGTGTGTGTTTAGAACAATCTCTTACAAAAGTATGTTTTAATAATACTCAATACTTTTGTTTCAATGGAGTATTTCTTTAAAACACTGTCATTTTAATTTCCAACTGTTTTTTTTTGTATCTGCTTTTGTTAATAAAAATCTCTCTTGCTTATCTTGGGTTTTGTTCCTAGTGTTATTTATTTTCTAAGTAATTAGCTGTAATGTAAATCTTTTAAATTTGATATTCATCTTTGATTCTTATATCTCTATTTCCCCTTCCCCCATTTTTTAAAAACCTCTAGCTATTCTGAAGTGAAAGGTAATCTGTTAAATGTGAACATTTAATGTTAATTTTTCAATTTCCAGAATTAAACAGATTTAAAACATGGCACAAAAGAGAGCACACTAGATTTTGAAGTTGATAGTTCACTTTCAGCTTTATACAGGGTTAGAGGGATGACAAATGAGAATATATCTATAAAAGCACTTTGCAGTTCTTGACACTACTTTGTAAAGTTAGCCATCTTCATTATCATCACTTAACTCTCTCACCATATTATGACATTTGTGTTTTAATTTGATATGAGTAAGCTTTTAGTTAAGACTTCTGAGGATTTTGACTTTTGGGTTCTGTTTTTGAAAAATTCCCCATTTTAAAATATTAGTAACATTGAAGAGATGGTATTTGTATGTTCTAAACATATATGTGTATGTGATATGCATGCATTTCTCTGTACATTATGACTTATGTGACATGACAGTTAAAATATTTGATGATTTTTGTGATTTCTTCCTTAAAATTAGAGAAGTACTTAGAATTTGTGTTTATGCTTTATATGTAGTTCTTGAATATTTTAATTTATTTATTGAATGTTATAACCATACTTTTTAGTTCTTCACAGTGGCAGAGTTAACTGAATATATTGATTGCAGATTTAAAGATTTAGAAACTAATTGAGAGAGTTTCTGATAATGGCTTAGATTTAATTAAATATTAAATTAAAAGAGTAAAGGTGAACATTTTATATTAAATCATAATTTGCAAAGCAAAATATATTGGTAATAATATAGCCGTTGATTTATAAGCAATTGACTTATTATTGATGATCAATACATAGGAACATGGTATTACCAGTTACCTGAAGTCCCCTGTCTCTGCCTTGTTTCCTTGTGTTTAGAGCACTTGGGGAATGATTGCCCAAGATCAAGGGTTCTTAACCTTTTTTGTATCACAGAACTCTTTGAGAGTCTTATCAAGTCTCTGGCCTTCTTTTCAGAAAAATGTAAAGAAACTATTTTTAAATTCCTATAAAAATAGTTAAAAACAAACAAGTTCTCAGATATCTGGCCTGGATGCATATTTACCTGCTATGCAGCTGTAGGAAATGTATCTTTACCCCTATGATTACCTGGATGGATTCAATTGCAATCTCTTGTTGCTGCTAAAGAAGGTGCCTTTTTTTTTTTTTTTGCTGAGTTAAGTGACTTGCGCAGGGTCACAGGGTTAGTAAGTGTCAGGTGTCTGATCCGAGGCTGGATTTGAACTCAGGTCCTCCTGATTCCAGGCTCGGTGCTCTATCCATTGTGCCACCTAGCTGCCCCACTCATAATCTTTCTAACTCTGATAAGAGAACTAGAGCAAGTCTTTATTCTTATTACTAAGGTCATAAGAGAATTATTATTTGAATTCTAGGTTGGAAACTCTGAATGATGCTATAAATAGTGATTAAGTATAGTAAAATAATACTATTGATTCTGTATATTTATGGCATTTTATATGGGTATATTGGCTTTTTGGCTGTAGCGTCAGATAAAGTTTCTATGGAAAAATGTGTTCCATGTTCCAGATGACGTCTAGGAAAACGATTTTTTTTAAATTGGGTGTTGCTTGTGCTGTAAATATAATACATTTATTGAAAATTGCTCATTGTGTGATCTAATATTTGTAAATGAATCAATTTAAGAAGTAATGACAGGTTCTGCATTTTTCTGACTAGGCAAATTGAATTTCCATTTTAATGTTACATATTACCTTTTAATATAAGAAAATAAGTATTTCATAGCTTAGAAATGTTGCAGAGATTGTTGTATACATGTGCTTTTTAAACAATATCAATATTAACAGGGCTTTAAAGATATGTATTTATTTTATGCATTTAAAAAAAAACTCTTACAAAAGAGACCACAGACTTCACCAAGTTTGACACACTAAAGTAAGTATCTCAGCTCTAGTGGAAGAAAAAAATATGCATAATACTACTGGAGTAAATGCTTTTTTTTCCATTAGCAATGGTATATTCATTTTTAATGTAAACCTTTCTTAGATGACTATTGGGAATTTTGGTAAAAGTAATGGTTTTTGAAATTTCTTTAATCATTGTGACTGTTGTGAATTTTCATTTCTGGTTAAGTAATACAAGCTTATATAATTGAATTTATCTTTCCATAGTTTGGGGCTTTACCACCTGGTTCAAAAACCTCTTTGCCGCAGTCAACAGGAGATATAACTGGTCACCAATTACCTCCACTACCATCCCTGACACAGGGTGGAGGTGTGCCTCTACCACCACCACCTCCACTGCCACCTCCTCCCCCACTTCCAGGGATGCCGATGGCTTTTCGTGCTCCTGTTCCTCCACCACTCCCTCCAGGATTTCTTGGAGTACACCGATCTCCTCCTCCATTAACACTGCCATTTGGATTGAAACCAAAAAAGGAATTCAAACCTGAAGCCACCATGAAAAGACTGAACTGGTTAAAGGTAAAACAGCCACAAGTAGGAAGTATTTTTTTAAACATACTTAAGACATATATTTTACAATCTCAGTTTACTAGTTGATCATAGATTTAGATATCAAACTATACCCCTCTGTCCATCACATGATTTCAGTATTCTCTGGGGAGATGTAGATATTCAGTAGGACATGGAAAAAAGTTCTGGGCTTTTTAGTTAATTGAAAGTGCAGTGAGTCAGTGTGATATGTCCTACCACTCTTTCTCCCCCCCCCCAAAAAAAAAGAAGCAACTGTAAGATACTTGGCTTCCTTGGTAGAAAGTCCCCCAAATAAGGTAGATGATAATCTTGCTATACTCTGTCCTTGTCAGTTCTCCTGTGAAGTATTATATTCATTTCTGGGTGCCAGTGTTGGCACTTAGTAGGCTCTTAATAAATGCTTATTGATTGATTGCTTGATATCTTATGTAAGGCATTAGGAAATGGAATTAGTGCCAAGGAAGATTACTAGGATGATGAGATTATGATGGTCATACTGTATGAGAAATAGTTGAAAGATCTGGGGATATGTATAACCAGGAAGAAAGAAGTTATAGAAGGTCACACAATATCTTTCTTTAAGTATTTGAAAGATGATCATGTGGTAATTCTGAAAACCCGGGAATAAACTATAATGAACTCAGAGTCTCTTCTGGTTCTGAAAACCAGTGATTCCAATATAATTTTATATTGAGAATCAGCTTATGGTGGCATTTATTTGAATACTGTAATGGTATTAAGATTAGGTGGAATACTTTGATTTTCAAATGGTTGCTTTTAATCCTTCTGTGAAGCTTCTAGTTCTGTTTTCACTAAAGCAGAAGTTTCCAGTGTTAGTATTCCTGACAAAAGCTATGTCACAGATACATGTGGGGATGCATCATGGGGTGAGGGAGGTCTTCATTACAGCATTAGTTTTGTACTTTATAAAAACAAAGGTTATTCTGAAGAGAAATTTAATACATTGATATTCAGACTAGATCTACTCATATAACTAAAGCATTTTATCAGCTTTAAGTGCATTAGAATTTTTCTTTGACAATAGACATTTGTCATAACCAACTCTTTTTATTCAAGTCAACACTTAACTCTTAGAATCAGTTTTTTAGAGATGGAAGTGACCTTTGGGGCAGCAAGGTGGTTCAGTGGTTAGAGTGTTGGGCCTGATATCAGGAAGATTCTTTTTCCTGAGTTCAAATCTGGCTGTAGACATTTATTAGTGGTGTGACCACATTAGTAGTTGTGCTAAGTTACTTAACCTGGTTTGCCTCAGTTTCTTCATCTGTGAAAAATGAGCTGGAGAAGGAAATGGCAAACCCCTCTAGTATCTTTGTCAAGAAAACCCCAAGTAGAGTCATGAAGAATTGGGCACGCCTGAAAAACAACTGAACACAATAGCAAAATGACCTTTGAGATCGTGTAGTTCAGCCTTATTATTTTACAGATAAAGAAACTAAAGCCCAGAGTTGGTCATTTGCCCAAGGTCATATAAGTAGTTAATAGTAGACTGGACCTAGAAGGAAAAAACTGCATCAGTCTAGTGTTCTTCAAGTTTACTTTATACAACACTATATGATAGTGATGTTTTAAAAGGAAAATTAATTGAATCTAATTTGAAAAGAAGTTTGGTTCAGAAACAACTCAATATATATCCTAATTATTGACACGTAAACAGGATTTATTAATATGTGTAAAATATAAAAAGAATGTTATGTTTTCTCTTTATGTTAGGAATTAGTAACCTTTCTGAGATCAAGTTATGTCATCATTGCTTCTCTTACTGTGTTTTTCACACTTTTGCCAGCAGCGGAAATGACATGAATTTTGTTGGTCCTTTTTAGTACGTTAGGCATATCCCAGATGAGTACTTGTCAGTGCTTTGGGGCAGCAGAACAAAAGGAAGGCTGAGAGGAAGAGTAGAGCTGTACTCCTCAAAATGGCAGTCCCATTGCCTATCTTTCTGTCAAAGACTTTTGCTGTTGAAGATGAGCCAGACCTAAATTTATCATCAATTAGTATTGTGGTAGGATTTGACAGCCCTACTAAGAAATATTACAATATAAGATATGTGTAAGAGAATAAGATGAACCTGGGCGAAAGATAGGTGTTGGGGGGGAAAGGACAAATAAATAGGATGAAGAGAGGGAAGTGTTGAAGATTTAACTGATTAGGAAATATGTTTTTTTAGTTGTGCCATTCAGTTATCTTTTAGGCTACTGGTCTCCCTCTTTTAGCACACAGTGCAATAACAATAGCCATTTTGTCATGTATCAGTATTTACAAACATCTTTGCCTTTGATTTCAGATCAGACCTCATGAAATGACTGAAAACTGTTTCTGGTTAAAAGCAAATGAGAACAAATATGAGAACACAGACTTGCTCTGTAAACTTGAAAATACATTTTGCTGTCAGAGAAAAGGCAAGTTAAAAATCTTTGGTTTTTTAAAAAATCTTTTAGAAATTCAACTTTTTAAATGTAAGTGTTCCCTTTTTAATTTATCTTCTTCTTGACATGACTTTCTTTTGATACTGTTGGTAAAGAATATGGAGAATTTATTCAATGCCATATTTAAAAGGAGCACTTTCACTTAATACATTTCAGGATGAACTCAAGACTGTAAAGATAAATATAAATGATTGAAGAATGTGACTTTTGTGGTTATTTGTGGTTTGTACTATTCGTCTTCATTATCTGAAGACCATTCAGCTGGTGCAAACCAGGTTTTAAAAAACCAAAATATTGTGACAGGGTATTTACCAGGAGAGCACAAATGCTTCTCTTTTATAATCATGAATAACAGTATCATAACAGTAGCCCGTTTAGTGTCATGATTATGTACAACTCTAAAATGGCATAGGTAACTATCAGGTAATATCCATTCTTTAAAGGGTTATTTTATGTAGCTCCACAAAGAACTTGAGTTATAGGAAGGCAGATTTTGTATCAGTGTAAGACAGAATTTACAATGAATGAAAAATGGCTGACTGAATGAATGAAAAAGCATTTATTAAGTGCTTGCTTAAGTATTTACTTAAGAACAGTGTAAAACACTATCTAAAATAGTTGGGGTACAAATAGAAAAAAAAGCAACAGTTCCTCTTCTCAAGGAGCTCACACTCTGATTGGGGTGGAGGGAAGAAAACAAAGTTGAGCTGCAATGTGAATGGTAAGTCCGAAAGAGAAGTTGTCAGGGTAATTCATTGGTGTGGATGACTAGGTTCAGGGGTCTTAGTCTCTGTAAGTAGGTCAGATGTCAATGCTGGGGGCTTTGGAGAGCATAGTGGCAGATTTAATGGTTCTCCATCTTATCTGAAGGAATAGATTGCTTTCTCAACCAAATGTGTGAATAGGTATTCAGTTTAGGCAAAAGGGAAGGGTGCCCCAGTGGCAATCTGCCATCTGATCCACTCCAATATATTCTGGGAGTATGGGACAAGGAAAGTAAAGATAAAAGGGCAACAGAGTAGATTGGGGTGGTTGCTGGTCTTTTTACCTCTTGGCTCTCCTAGATGGGTTCTGGTACCTCCTGGTCAGGGAAGAAGCCACTTATGGTGGCTCCTGAGATAATGAGTTTTCAATCAAACAAATGTCCAAAAGAAGATACATGACTATCAGGGCTGTTGTATTAGTAATTCACTAAATTAATAATTTTAAAAATTGTGTTAAAATTTATCAATTTAACTTCATTTTAATAAATATTTATTATTTCACTTAGCCAGCCTCTCCAGTTGAACAGCAACAACAGAAAATTAAAATTGTCATAACAAATATTCATAGTATAGCGAAGCAAATTGCCATGTTGAACATGTGTAAAAATGTATGATTTACTTTATATTTTAAGCCAACAACCTCTGTGGCAGGAGCGTTTTATCTTTAGTCCTCTGGATATTCAATGCATTGATCTAGAGTTTTTCAAGCTATTTTTCTTTATGATATCATTGTTATGGTGTAAATTGTTTCCTGTTTCTCTTCACTTTACATCAGTTCATTGAAGTCTTCTCAGTTTCCTCTAAAATTGTTGCTTTTGTGATTTCTTAGGACAAATTAATATTCAGTTATATTTATATACCACAGTTTGTTTAGCAGTTCACCAATAGGTGGGTATCTCTATTTTTGGTGACTCGGAAAAGAGCTGCTTATAAAGATTTTTTCTACTTATGGGTCCTTTTCCTTTTCTCTTTATTTTTTAAAAATCTCTTTTGAGTATAGACCTAATGGTATACCAGTAATTCCAAAACTCTGTGGGCAGTTGAGTTAGATAAACTGCTAGTTCTTTCTGAACTCTTTAAGAGCCTTTTCTAATTATTGCAGAGTTATCATTAAATAATGAATGCAAATTTATAAAATAGAATGCGGTCACGTAACATAGGACCACATTCAGTTCAGTTTAACCCTACGTTTATTTAATGATAGCTGAGCTAGGTATAGGAGAAGATACAAAGTATAGATAAGATATAAGCAATGAATATCTGGAAATCAATTTAATGGAATTTTTCAAGGTTTTTTTTTTTTAAGTCCTGTTTTGTCTTAAAGTGAGCTTGCACATTAAAATCAAGAACATTGATTTCCTCTGCAAATGGGACCAAGTCCTACTAACTTAGTGGACATATACCATACATAACTTTTAAAGCTGAAACTTGAATATAATACGGTTATCGCTTTCACATTATGACTTTCCCCATTGGTTTCAATATATCATGGGTTGTCATAAGAAATTAAGTGGGTATTCTTTGGGAGTTTTGTGGAAGTCACAGATGACACACGAAGGCCAACAAACAACATAGAAAAAGTTTAAAAATTCAGAAATGCATAAAATATATGTATAGTAATGCATAGTATCAGCATACTTTATTTTTTAATACCATAATAATTCAGATTTATTCTCTGGTAAAATTTTACATGAATTTTCCAGATCGTGGAGGCACAGTGCACCCAAACCCGCAATGTGAAAGTGATAACTGTACTAGTATAAATTAGGCATCCAGGTGGTACAGTGGATGAAGTTCTGAGACTGGAGTTGAAATCTGCCTCAGACACTTACTAGCTGTGTGCCCTTTGACAAGTCACCTAACTCTTTTTGCCTCAGTTTCCTCATCTGTACAATGAGCCAGAGAAGGAATGACAAACCCTCCAGTGTCTTTGCCAAGAAAATACCCAAAAAGGGTCATAAAGAGTCAGACACAACTGAAAACAACAAAACAAATGCTTTTTACTGTATCTTTTAGATGTATTGTTCAAAACACTGCAATCCCAAATTTAACCTATTATAGTTTTCAATGTGACTATAGCTAATTAATGCCATCTATGTCATAGAGGCAACCAAATAACTTTTGTACGTTTGATCTATCCAGAACCCCCTCATATTATTATGCAAACTATATTGAAAGATAATTAGAAAAGAAATGTATAACTTAGCATTCTCTTTGACCCATTGTGACTCTGTGTGTGGATAGTAAAGTGAACCTCAGCTTGCAGTTTTAATTTTTTTGTTCATTTTCACTTTCCTGAGGATGCTGCTGTAACTTTACATTCTGCAGTGTTAGAACAGAAACCTCAAGTAGCTATTTCTCTGAACAAATGACCAGTTCTAAGTTTTTAAATAGCCAATAGTAACCATTAGGTAATACAGAATATAATATAAAATAAGCCTTTTGGTCCTTGAAAATAAGAAGAAATTGCTTAGTTTAGGGAAAAATATGGATTTGGTGAAACTTGATTTTATCTTTTGATTGTAGAGAATCAAAGTTTTCCTTGAATAAAATGATTACATTCTTCAGGTAATCAGAGAAAAAATATATAACAGTAAAAATATACTAGTAAATATATATTTACATGTAAATATATATTTACATGTAAAGTACTCTTAAAATTTCAAATTCCACGATCAAGAATTGATTAGTTTTTCCTTTTCTTTTTTGGTAAGCAACATTAGTTTATAAAAGGCATTTACATTTTTGGTTCCATGTAGCTACTCTTTCCCCTACTTTTTTTTTAAACTCTGATTACTTCTTTAATTAATGAAGCTCAAAAGGGAAACTTATTAGCATGCCTTTAACCCAGCTGTGGTTTTATCATAAAATAACTGAACCTTTTAACAACAACAACTCAAGTCAATATAACTTTAGCTTTGATGCTCAAAATTGAGAAATTTTTTACCTGCTCAGTCTGGTAATACTTGTAATTGTTAAGAGAATAAGTTTGTATCTTCATAATTTACATTTCAGGGAAAACTCATCCCATTATCAATTAAATAAAACATAGCCTTTTACCAGAGATATTTGGCCTTTTAGTCAAGTTATAATTTTTATCTTAATAATTTTGCTTTGTGTTATTTTATCTTTCAAATTTTAAAATAATTCTTGTATTTAGCCTTGCAAATTTTATTATAATTTATTTCTCCCCTAAAATCATATTCCATTGTCTATAATCTTGGTAGATTAGTAATCTTGGAAGTATAAACTCCAACTTTATACTTGTTGATCCACCTGAAAAAACTTGGAGAATGGATCCAAAAAATGGACTGTTGTTTCTGTTATATGAGGATGATTTTGTCCTTGCAGAGTGGCTCATATTCAGCAGCTAGGACACTGGTGAGGTTGCCGAAAGTGATAATGACATTGTTTTACTTTTGAGAGAATTTGAGATCCTCCCATTTATCAGTTGAGGAGGTTTATAGTATATCCTTGAAATTACAGTAGTCATCCATCCCATCATATACCATAATTTACATTGCTATTTCCCTATTATATGGTATTTAGATTGTTACCAGTACTCAGCAATTACACATACTGCTTCTATTCAGATATAAATATCTGAATAGATGCTTCTTTCCCCCTTCTTCTTGATGATGCCCTTAGGAGATATTTCTAATGATAAAATGATTGTATCAAAGGATTTTTTTGGTAACTCATTTCTGCTTTATTCACCAAAAAAGATTTGATCAATTTGCAACTACAGCAGCAATTTACTTGTTTCCCCTTAATCTTATCAGCATTGAATATTGTCACTTTTAGTTATTTTCTTTAATTTGATGGATGTGAAATACTAAGTAAAAGTTCTTTTAATTTGAATTTTTGATTATTAATGAATTAATGATGTCTAAAGAATCCACTGATCAGCTTGTTGAATGAGTGATAATTACTACTATATACATAAAACTTGACGCTTTACAAATAATTTTTTATTTATTGGTTATTGTTTCAGATCTTTAAGAATTAATAGGAATTGAATTGCTTTTATTTGAGTCATTGTTAACAAGCATTTATTAAATGCTTTCTGTGTAACAGTTATTTTTCAAATACCGAAAATACAGAAAAAAATAAATATACCCTCTTTTGAAGGATCCTCACATTCTTTGAATTTTTTTTTTTGGTTATTATTAACTTGAGAAATCAGCAAACATGAGCATTTTCATATGT